CGGGCCGGCCGTTTTTTTACTACGGCCGGCCCGGAGGTGGTTAATGTTCTATCCAAAGACCCTTCAGTCCCTCGAGGCACCCCTATAAACTTTAAGTATATGTGAACTCAATTACTAAAAATTTTAACTAGGGATGCACCGATACTGGTATTTGGTCCCATAAGGAGTATCCGGGCGTGTACCAGTACTCGTCCAAATGCTCCCATACTTGCCTCGGATGCCGGAACTTCCGGACAGAGGGAGATCTCCCTCTGACCGGCAGTTACGAGGGAGCATGGAGCGAGCCGGCTTACTTTCCAATCAGGAAGAAGGGAGGTGGCTTATGACCTGCTTCCTGATTGGCTAGGCAGTCTGGCTTCATAACCAATCAATAAGCTGGGCGGCACGTAATGACCCTGCTTTCTGATTGGTCTGGCAGCCAGGCTGCTTAGCAACAAGTGAAGCTGGCTTCCTAGCCAATAGGGAAGCTGGGTGGCATCTCATGACCCGCTGCCCGGCTTCCTGATTGGTCAGGAAGCCAGGTAGCCTCAGCAAGTGAAGCATGTGTGTTTTCTAGCGAAAGAACACTGGCTTCCCAGGCAGTCAGGAAGCCAGCCGACAGGTCATGATCCACCACCTGACTTCTTGATAATTGGGGAACCGGTACTACGTATCGGTACGTACCGGGGGGGGCGGGGATTATCGATACATGATACTGAAAAATCGGTATTGGTACATCCCTATGTTAACATTATTGTTCATTTCAGTATTTTTAGTCTACTTTCCATAAAATATTTGGTGATACTGCCATGTAGATCCTTGTACAGGCACATAAAGGGTGGCAAAGCTTTGTCCCTGCCGTGTGTGTCACGTGGCCTGCACTCACGCGCACACACACACACACTTACTTTGTTTCCGCACAGCACCATTACCTAGCTACATTAACACGTTTGTCTGTATGTTGTTCTCTGCCTATCCACAGGTGGCTTCACTGTCCAGTCTTACAAAGGTGCTCCGAAACCAACTCCTATGGAACTGATGCGAGCTCAGGCTACCCGAATAGCAGATGAGCCTGCTGCTTTGAAACCACCCAAAATTGAAATGCCACCATTAGTTGCTCCAAATACGAAAACTCCCGGAGGCCACAACCTTAAACCACGTGACATGAACATTCTCACTCCCACCGGCTTCTAAGTCGTGCAACTCTCTTCATAAGATGGTCTAGTAGTAGACTCTTTCCCACGGGAGCACAACACACATCCTCTATCCTATACAAAGTCAGTTAAGCATTCTCCAGTCTTCTCTCATGATGTGGGCTTTAATTGATTCTTAGTTATTTGACAGAAGACAAATTGCTGCTTTTCTTTACAGACAGGTCAGTCCGGAAACTGTTGTAACTATGCATATTGTGATTAGCTGTTTATATTTCTTCGACTTGCGTACACAGATGGTGACATGTGCCACAGCTTGTCATAATGTTAACCCTTGACCTTCCACTCCCTTCATAAACTTTTAGCAGGGATACCCTAATATGTAGGTATTATGTTCCAGGACCGTGCCGTCTTGTACTACGACCACTCTAGTTTCCCACACCAGGTTTTGTAAATGTCACAGATAACTTGCAGTAAGAGAAACGTGCAATAGCTAATGTTACTTGGGACTCCGGAGCTTTGCCTGACTAATGCAAAGTAAATCTTCAACACTTAGGTTTCCAATGTGTAAATTCAGCAATATGTATCCAGCTCAACATATGGACAAATGAGTTCCTGCTTCCTATCTAACGTGGGCACATGCCGACTGCTTAGTATTTTCTTTTTCCATTCCATTTTAAAGATATTGCACACGGAAATTCGGTTGGATTTAATTTATTCTTATGCATTTTGTGTGTGCACTTATTTGTCCTTTGTGCCTCCCATTTATGGTCTAAAATAAACTGGAAAGTTAATCTGTGGGTTTTTTGTGTGTGTGTCCGTGTCCGTGTCCGTGTGTGTGTCCGTGTCCGTCCAGCACGGCTCTGTGACGAGATCAAAGGGAGATCAGTACACTATCTCCCTTTCATCTACTCTCCAGTCCCGGAATGCAGGAAGTGATGTATATTACATCACTTCCTGCATGCAGTGTCACTTTCCAGCTACAGAAGCTGATGAAGCAGATCTCTGCTTCATCAGCTTCTCTGTGCTGTGCCCGATGCGGCCGGGACCGGCATGGCTCTGTGACAGGAGATCAAAGGGACTTCAGTATACGAACTCCCTTTGATCTCCTCTCAGTCCCTGAATGCAGGAAGTGATGTATATTACATCACTTCCTGCATTCAGTGTCACTCTCCAGCTAGAGAAGCTTATCTCTGCTTCTCTGGAGGTCCCTAGGTGACATAAGGGGTCTTGGAGACCCGTGATGTCTTCATAAAGAGGACCTGTCATGTAAATTGGCTATCACATAGGGGGCTTCTTATCCCCCCATGTGATAGCAATAACGTTGTGTAAAAATTAAAGTCATCCGCCCCCCCACATGCAGATATGCGTCGGGTGCGCCTACGTGCGAAAATGATTGTGCCGCATATATCACCGTGAACGTCGAAGAGCAATAATTTTAGGGTCATTAATTACTGATAACACTAAACTGATGAGCAATAAGTGTTTTTTAAGCGTCGCCTATGGCCAATTTTCAGTGTGGTGGTTTTTTTGCGATTTAAGGCTTGACATGTTTGGTGTCTATTTACCCGACGTGACCCCGTCTTTTATGTTTTCCCAAAATTATGGGTAAGAATAGATGTTTTATCACATAATTTAGGGAAACTTTGTTTTAAAAAAAAAATGTACTGTATTTTTTTAATGATAAAATCAAAAATAACCCAACCACCCCCCCCCCCGTGGTATTTTTTTACATACAACTTTATTGCTATTACATAGGGGGCTAAGAAGCCCCCTATGGGATAGCCAATTTACATGACAGGTCCTCTTTATGGAGACATCAGGGGTTTCCAAGACCCCTAATGCCACCTAGGGACCTCCAGAGAAGCAGAGATAAGCTCTAGCTGGAGAGTGACACTGAATGCAGGAAGTGATGTAATATACATCACTTCCTGCATTCAGGGACTGAGAGGAGATCAAAGGGAGTTCGTATACTGAAGTCCCTTTGATCTCCTGTCACAGAGCCATGCCGGTCCCGGCCGCATCGGGCACAGCGGATCTCGGGACTGGCAACGGCAGTGACAGCTTCTTATACAAGCGATGGAGCGTCTCTCGAGACGCTCGATCGCTTGACTGTAAAGCTCCCGGCCGGCCGTGCAATTACAACGGCCGGCCTGGAAGCTGCTCGTCGGGCTCCACCGTCTGCTCGTCGCAGACGAGTGGATTTTTCGAGCCCTGTATATATATAATCAATTGCAACAGTTTTAGGCTCTTGGATAATTTTTTTAATTTCTTTTTTTTATGTGCAAATCTGTTTAGCTGCTCCCTTTTAACATGTGTGCCCGTTTTTGACCAAGGTGCGGGAACGAGCGGCGATAACGAGGTAAGTTTAAAAGGATTTTAAGCGTTTTTTTTTTACACTTCTTGCCTATATCTACTGCATGCTAGCAGTAGATATAGGCAAAAAAACCGGAGGGTTTAGAACCCCTTTAAGTCCCCATCACCACTTCTTCAAAAAGCGACAGTTAAACCTTTTGCCTGGAGTTGCGAGTCTTCTTTCCTGGAGTCTTTTTATTCTCATTTATAAGCAACATAAATCTGGCGCAAATGTATCTCATGCGACCATGGAATTGCTCTGATATATTCCCCTCGGCATGTTTTAGTTTGTAAAGGAACTCGGGAGAAGTCTACACCTGCCTTGAGCAAGACTGGCCCCCTCATTAGACATCTGGTAAGCTTTGCATCCCAATGGAATGTTTGTGTATGTGCTAATGTTAAGTCATGATGCCACAAATCTAAAATCTAGAGATGTCTGCTTTTAATACTTAGAAGTAATTTTAATAAGATGCTTCCTATGTTACCTGCTGAGTAAATGACACAATAACCACCCATATAGTTGAGCATTAAATGTTGATCATTTAATAATGAGAGTATGGCAGCTGTCCTTGCTTTCTGCACCTTGTAACAATGCTTGTTGTCTGGCTATCAGGCTGATCAAATGTCTTCAATACTTCAAATTATTTGATCTGAAACAATTATGCAGATCAGGAATTCTAACTTTCTCTAATCTGCCCTGACACAACTAGTTAGTGTTCTTGGGAAAGGTTAGCTATGGTAGTCCTGCATTTCTGTCATTTACAGCTTGCCTTCAACACAGGGCTCAAAAGTCCTGAGCTACTAGCCAGGCCTTAAAAGTCACTCGCCACCAGTTGCCCCACCTAACCCCCTACCCTGCCCCGGCCTTAACTCTGCCATGTCAGCGGTGTGACACGCAGTACAGAGGTCAGTAATGTGATGCAGTGTAAAGGTGGCCATACACTCTACAACCATCGCAAGACTTTAGTCTTGCGATGGTTGTAAAGGGATTAAAAAAACGTACGATCTGCCTATCTTGGACAGGCAGATCGCACTCTCGATCATCGCAAGCCCGCCCCCCTGAGGGGCGGGCTTCCGATGACCGCAATGCTGAACGGGCAGTGTGCGCACACCGGCCCGTTCAGCATTTATCTTCCGAGCACCGTTCTAACCAGCCGAGAATCGTACGATTCCCGGCTGGTTTTCGAACATGCTGGTTCGACAGAAGACGTGCGACCGTACAGTAGAAACGGTCGCACGTCTCCGTTCACACTGCTCGATTATCGTACGAAAAACCGATCGCATACGATTATCGTGCAGTGTATGGGCACCTTAAGGAAGAAAGAGAAGGGACTTACAGTGCACTCTTAGCTGATGGTATTCAGGTGCCTCTTCTTTCTCGTGGGGGGGGGGCGCTACAGAGATCCTCTTTTCCCCCTGCTGCATAACTTTCTGGCCGGGTGTCTCGCGGTCTCTGCAGTCTTCCTCCCAGCCTATGGCAGCTGAGGTGGGCGGAGGAAGCTGCAGAAGACAACGGAACTAAATGTCATCAAGGGGGTGCGCCACCGGCGGGACCAGAGATGGGACACTACTGCCGCGGCGATCGTTAGCTTCTGTTCTCTCATCTCCTTCTCGGCCGCTCTGTAGCTGCAGCGGCCGAACTTACACAAATTTTCACCTGCCAATTGCGAGGGGGCGAGTGGCAATTTTGAGGCCTGCTTTAACACATACCTGTCACATGCTGATTAAAAGCAAAGTAATGCTACATCTGGTCTTTAGAAGCCCTCCTGATTTTATGTGCTGCTGTAACCCCCCCCCCCCTTCCAAAGC